CAAAATAGTAGAATGCAGTGAAGAACACGGATTATCACTTAACATAAGCAAAACAAAAATAATGCTAATATCTAAATCACCACAAAACTTCCCTGACATAACCGTGCATGATCAAAGAATCGAACGTGTAAGAAGATATAATTACCTGGGAACTGTTATCATCGAAAATAATGATTGCTCTGAAGAAATCAGAACCAGAATAGAGAAAGCTAGAGCCACATTTACTAAATTGAAAAAGGTGTTCTGCGGAAGAGATCTAAGTCTAAAACTTAAAATTCGCCTTTTGAGATGTTACGTTATATCAGTTCTCCTCTACGGGATGGAAATATGGACATTGAAAAAGATCGATACCAAAAAGATAGAAGCATTTGAGTTGTGGATGTATCGTAGAATATTAAGAATACCCTGGACAGAGAAAGTAACAAATGTGGAGGTTTTGCTGAGAGTGCGGAAAGAGAAAGAGCTGATACTTACTATTAAAAAGCGCAAACTACAATATTTGGGACATGTTATGAGGGGAGATAAATACCAGTTGCTGCAATTGATTATACAGGGAAAGATAATGGGAAAGAGATCCATAGGAAGAAGAAGGCATTCATGGTTGAAAAACTTGAGAGACTGGTACAATTGCACCAATTACCAACTGTTTAGATCTGCAGCATCAAAAATACGCATAGCTTTGATGATAGCCAAACTTCGGAACGAAGACGGCACTTGAAGAAGAAGAATTGTATAAAAAATGCAACATCGTCCGGTTTATTAAAATTAATAGACTAAGGTATACCCCCAAAGACAGATATTATATCAAGAGCAAGTAGGAACCAGGAAGAGAGGCAGGCCAAGATTTAGATTTAAAACTCAAGTTGAAGATGACTTAAAGAATCTAGGGGTCAGAAATTGGAAAGCCAGTGCGAAAGATACAAGGGAATGGAGACTAATTCTTGAACAGGCCAAGACCCACCCAGGGTTGTAGAGCCAAAGATGATCATGAATGTTAAGTGAAATCCCAATGACTTTTGTACATATTTAAAAGAGATAAAACTTTTAATAAATGAATTATGCCCAAAGATCTTAGGTCTACAAGAAACTCATTTTAAACAAGCTAATATAAATCTTCGAACTTATCGATGTTTTCTAAAAAACAGAATAGCACAACAGGCCAGTGTCTGAGTAGCTGTCTTCGTAAGTACATACCTAGAAGCTAAGCCAATTGCATCACTATTTATTCAATTCTTATCAACGTTTTTCACGTAGAATACCTTAAACTCGTTATTATCTGATAGTAATCGCTTTGCTATCTGTATATCATCAAATGAAATTCTGCAAGCTGGACGTATTATCATGTCGACATTCAAAAGAAAATTGAAAACTATCAACCAAGTGATGATATAAACTCTAATATTACGCCCTTAAACAACATAATTATAGAAGCAGCTCTAAAAAATATAGGTAAAACGAAGCTCTGCAAAAGACCTCCAGTACTTTGGTGGAACAATGAAGTAGCAGATTCTCTACCTTCTAGCAATCATGCTTTTAATGTACTTAAAAAGAACAAAGAAAAATCTGACAAAAAAGCAAAAGAGATACCTAGAGATCAGGGTATCATCTGTCAATTCTTCAACACCTTCACAGGTTGTTTGGACTAAAATTGGTAAACTCAAAGGCTCCAATTCTTTTACATATAAACACCTTAAAACAAAATATTAAATTAATTACTTCCCAAAATACAATCGCAGAAGCTTTAGCTGATACAGCTTCGACAAAATTCTTCAACAAATTCTAGCGACGAAAATATTTCTTATGAATCTCTAACATACAAGAAAAACATAAAAACTTCTACAGTCCCCATCACAATATAAAGAGGTGAAACCTCTTTATACTGTGGTCCCAGCATTATAATTATATATCCGGATAGAATATCCTGATGATATTCTACCACTGTTCATAAAAAACTTACCATTCGGAGCCAAACTAACTCTGTTACATTTATTTAATACCTGTTTCCTAAAGCATGAATTACCTACTAGACCTCTGATCTCAAACAATAATCATTTCCATTATTAAGAATAACAAACCAAAAGACAATTCTTACCGACCCATCTCTCTTACATGTTGCATGTGCAAGATCCTAAAAAACATTTAAACCTCCACCTTATATGGTACTTAGAAAATAATAATTTTCTTACTCCCTTCCAAATTGGTTTTTGAAGAGGTAGATCCACATTAGATAATCAACTTGCATTGCAGACTCCAATTAATGAAGCTTTTGCACATAACCAAAAACTAATAACAATAATTTTCGATATAACCCAAGCCTACCATAGAGCATGTATTGACTGTAGGTATTCTACAAACATTGAAAGATACTCGAATTCAAGGTAAGATACTCGCGTTAGAATAAATGGTGTTATAGAACGGAAGAAAAAAATATTAGTGGTACTATTTCGTCCCACTAAGCAGCCGCTATAACTACGAAGCATAAATGTTTTTATAAGGTTTTATTAACATTATTAAATAGATTAATATTTCACAAAACACAAAATTTTTTTTTTTTTCCAAAGCAGGTATATTCATCATACGAAAGTTTTATTAGAAGCGATTTTATATTTAAACGGTGAAAATAAATCGTTTCATATTGACTGAGAAGCAACTAAAATTTCTTGTCCGATACCTCAATCGTAGGAAACGCTTATCTTTCTTGATTAACTAATTATTATACCAATACTTAGTTAACCATTATTAAATGGTTCAACTAAATGATGTTAATAAAATATATGGTTTTTAATGTTTCATTAGGTACGTCTTTTCCATTTATTCGTTCCATTATTTATAAGATGGGTTTTTTTGTATAATTCTTCCATTGTCGCGTTGGTTTTTCTTTTTCTTGGTGTTGTTTCTTTTCTTTTGTGGTTTTGGCATCCTGTTTTAAGCTGTTGCCTCTTCAGGATGTGGTTTTTGTTTTTGTGGTGGTTGGCTTCTGTTTTGTTTTTTCGTTGATCCACTGGTGGGGCCGTCCAGGACAATCAGTGGCGAAAGGCTTTTGGTCGGTTCTTTTCAGAATTGTTGTCTAAAATAATTAGTATATTAGTGAATATTAAATTAGTATATGTAGAAAAATGAGATATTAATATATGTATAAATACATGTATTAATATTGTGTAATTAGTAAATATGTTATTAATGCGCGGCGCGAGAGGGCAGCTGCGGCTGTATCCTCACAATAGACAGGTATCGTTTGCAAGTGGGATCTTGAAACCGCAGAAAACCGATCCCCCCTGTCTAGGCAAGCTCGAAGTGAGCAATTTAGCTAGGAATGCGACGGAAATAGAGGGGAGTTGCCTCCTGTATGTCAATGTATTCATCAGGGAGTTCGTTACTGGCAAGTTCCAGTAGAATAGCAGGTAGGTGTGGGAGTTTAGGTTTAGGATGTCTGGTGAATACATTGCCGCGGATTGAGCAGACAGTTTTTAGAGTGCGTTGGGCTCTGAGGTTTTGGCCCTGGATTGTGCGAATAGTGTAACTTCTGCTCAGAGAGTGTAGTCTCTCATTTAGGGGCTGGATATTCGATAATTGATGAATAAGGGCAGAAGGGTAGTCACAACGTTTACCGTTTACTCTACGCAGAATTGACCTTTCTATTCTAAGTAAATTTTCTTTTACGGCTTTTGACAAAGTAGCATAAATGTTAGATCTGTATTCAAAAATAGGTCGTATAAATGATTTATATGTGAAAATTAGTGTGCGAGGTATATTTGTATAATTTTTATATAATATATATTTGTATAATTTTTTGCGCATTTTAATTAATATTTTAGCAGTTCCCAACCTAGCAGCTACGTGCCTTTATCCTTAGGACGGTTTTTATGATGACATCTAGGTCCCATCGTTAATAATATTAATAATAATTAACATCATATAGGTACCTATTCGATTCCCGAGTAGTTCTGTGCTAAAAATATTCCGTTATAATACTCCTTAAGCCTTGCTTCTGATTTTCCTTATTCCTACACACTTTGCTGATTATTTATAGAAAAAATTATTTCAAAGGATGTGATTCTAAAATAAACAAAAATTGAGACATTATCTAAAAATATAGAAATATTCGGGAAGTAAAAACTAAATACTTAATTGTTCATTTTAGGACCCCAATACAGAGAGCCCAAACGTTTCTGTCGCTACAGCCGTTGCAGCTCCTCAGGATGGACAACAATTTTATTTATTACAACCGGATGGAACCTACCAAAGAATAATAGTACAGAAAAGAGAAGGTGCGAGTCAAAAGGATAATGTCTATGGGGCAAATTATGTCTTACAAAACGTTAGAACTGACCCAAACATTGTTTACGCACCTTTAATTAGTTTAGTTGGAAGATAAAATTGATACTTTTATTATACTGTGTGATATGTATATATTAAGAAATATATTTCTATTTAGATAACAAACATTTTATTAATTTGTGTATGTGTGATGTGGTAAATAAATCTTGAAGACGACTAAATAATTCATTTAAGGCAAAACTGATACTTAAACATATATTACGTAGGTAATAAATGAATAGGTATAGTTTGTTAATACCTATATTTTTATCTACGAAAATTTCCTATACAACATCCTGAATTTTTTTGAATTCGATTTTGTTATATTGCAGTGTTTCAAAATACTATTTTTTGGCTTAATTGGTAATTTATACACCACATATTATGCAACACCTAATACATTATATATACATGAAGATAGGCGAACCTTGATATTATTTTACATCAACCTAATTCAAAATTGCAGAAATCAGATGTTTAAAATTTACAAAACCATTTTGTGTCTACTATTATATTATTTATCTATGACCATTTTGATAGTATGAAACTAGATAATTAACGGAATATTAAATGACGAATAATAAAAAACTGAATGAATACCATATATTAAAAGCTTACACCCGAAAAGAAGAAAACTAGAGATACCATTTAACCTAAGTTCTTAAGTACAATTTTGTTGTATGTAAATAAAATCATTTAAAATTTAGTTCTGCAATTAACTAACATGGGTCGAAGGTATTACTGTGATTATTGCGATAAATGCTTTATAGATGATCTCGACGCTAGAAAGAAGCACTTACAAAGTTCCAACCACATAAAACTTAGAAATTTGCATTATGAATCTTGTAGAGGTATGTATGAGATAATTGCCCAAATAAATTTATAATTTACGTATTGTATTTAGATCCAGAAACAGTTTTAAAGGAGGAGCTTTTAAAAACACCATGTAGACGATTTTCCCAAGGTAGCTGTCCTTTTGAGGGAGTGTGTAGATTCACTCATTACTCTCCTGAAGAGTTGTGTGAACTTAGAAAGCAAGGTAGGTGTTCATTTATTAAGATTACTTTCAATATTTAAAATACCTTGCAATAATTGTTTTCTTAACAAATAATATTAGTTTACCCTACTAAAAAATTTGGAGGCCTTACAATTTAGTTTTTATTAGAACTGCATACTTGAATAGTTTATGGAATACATTATTTGAACAGTTTGTGTGTTTACCAATTTAATTTATTATTGTTGATTTTTGGTATGAAGTAGTTTTCCAAATATTGTAGAATCACAAACTTTTGTGGGTGTGTGTTTGTTGAGACATTTGGCTTTAAAATATGTTCATTAGCCACAGATCATATTAATCACATATTTTTGACTTAAAATTAAATCTATTGTAATGTCCCTACTTGTAAAGAGTACATACTATTTTATTTTAGTGGCTTCCTCAAAAATTTTGAAGCTATTTATGCTAAATGTTTATTTTTGTTTTCCTGAGAAGTTCAATGAAAAGATCATCCACTGATTTGTTGAAAGAGACAATTAAACATGACCTGCAATGTGTAGTTTGTACAATTTGGATAGTAACTCTTTGGATGATCCCATGTGTTTAGTAGATTCAAAAAATATGTGTGCATATCCACTAGGAAACTAAGTTCCTGTAGCTGGCTCTATACCATGTATCACAATTTTTTTTTATTTCAAATCCTTTATAAATGGTATATAATAGGTTTGTTTCTGCAGTAGTTGGAAACGGTTTTACAACGCTTGAGTTTGCGCAGTAAAATAATTGTGTTTGTGCAGGTTTAATTTCAAACTCCAACTGTTTGGTCAGATGTTCTTGCAGATTTGTCGACCGTTTTCAAATAGTCATTCTGGTTTGAAGATTATTTTCCAACTAATAGTTTGACGCAGGCGTACTATGTATAAATAATTAACGTTTCTTATTCTTAACCTGTAAATATAAAATATATTGTAAATATTTTTTACTAAGTTATATTGAACTGATTATTTATTGGTTATTTTTCAATTCCAACGTTTGGTGTATTTACATTGATTATTCTTTATTGAATAAATTTTTAGACTAAATATCCAACATGGTAATTATATGTGATATAACTATGATTAAATAACTTGAAGTAAAAAAAATATATTTCAGGAATCTTCTGAAAGTTCTTCTTCTGATGAGGAGGTGTTTGATATTGAAGAATTGTCATTGGATAAAGATTTGTTACAAATTTTAGATGAACGTATAAGGCCTAAAAATAAGAATTATATTGAAGAAACAGTGTCAAGTTACAACGATTGTGAATTTATTGAACACTTTCGTGTTAGTCGTACGGTTGCTGAAGATATTGCGAACCACTTCAGAAATTCACAATATTTTCATTATCAAGCGGGAGGCAATGGAAAGGTTGGAGGATATGAACAAACATTAATATATTTATGGTTCGTTGGTCACAGACTGCATCATTCAGAGATGTAACTGATAGATTCAATATTGCTCTCAGCACTATTTTTAAATTAATTAGAAAGTTAACATATTTTCTGAGCAATATGGCCCCTCAAGTAATTAAATGGCAATCAGGTGAAGAGAAAATAGAAATTGAGAGAAACTTTAGGCAAAACAACTTTCCAGGTGTTATTGGAGTAATTGATGGGAGTCACATTAAAATAGACCAACCAACAAATGATCCAGACTCATACTTAAATAGAAAACATTATTATTCTATTCAGGTAATCACATACTAATACATATCTTATAAACTTAAAAACTGACTAGAATTTTTATGTATATTTTTGGTTGCAACTAGTTTGTGACCACCAAAGAAGAATAAGGGACTTATTTGTCGGTTATCCAGGATCAGTACATGACAGCAGAGTTTTCAGAACTTCACCATTAGCTGAGAGTATAGTTGTAAAGTGTGCAGATTATTTTATTTTAGGGGATAGTGGTTATCCATGTTTGCCCAATCTCCTAACTCCTTCTAATGATAGAGGTAACTTAACAAGAAAACAGTTAAATTGCAACATGAAATTAAGCAAAAATATATATGTAGTTGAACACTGTTTTGGTCTACTTAAGCAGAAATTCCATCAGTTGTATCATGTAAAATTAAGAGCTGTACCAGATATAATACATTTTATAAGAGCATGTTGTGTTCTTCATAATATGACAATCGAAGACCAATATGAGGCAGAAAATATTGATGAAAATATTTAACCAGAAATGGAATGGAAAGAAGAAATGAAATCATGAATTTTTTACCTATGTAAATAAATCATGTTTATTAAAATTTTTTTTTAATATGTATTCTGAAATATTTTCATCTCTTCGATGTAGGCTGTAAAACATGTATTACTTAAAGTATGATGTATGTATTTAAAACATATTTTTAAGTTTTAGAGTTAATATATGTATATTCTTTTTACTTGTTACACATTCAATTTGTAGAAAATAAAAATATAACTCTGATGATTTTTTATTAAAAAAAACCTGTTACCAACTTAACCTTAAATTTACTTTCCTAAAAATTAAAGTATTTCAGTAGGTAAAGATTCTTTTGATACCAAATATTTGCTAAGTATTTCGTTCGCCTTCTCTCTCAGTTTATTTTGTTTTCTTATTTCTAAAAGTCAGCGTTTGAAACATATGCAGGGTTACGGCAGGGAGACGCGCTGGCGTGCCTTCTCTTTAATATAGCGTTAGAAAAGACTATAAGAGATGCCGAGTTACACAATAGGGGAACAATCTTTAATAAATCAACGCAGATTATGGCGTACGCTGACGATTTGGATTTGATTGCACGTACTACACGAGGACTTAAAGAGATGACTTCCACCTTCTTGACAGCCGCACAAAATATGGGCCTTAAAATAAACGAGGAAAAAACCAAAATGCTAGCATCTATTCCAAATAACAGAGATAGAGCTAGAAACGCCGAACAAAACTTCAGTATAGACCAATATAATTTTGAGGTAGTAAATAAGTTTACATATTTGGGTTCTCTCATAACAAACGATAATGACACATCTGAAGAAGTTAAACGGAGGGTACTGCTAGCAAACAAATGTTATTTTGGACTAAGCAAGCAGCTAAAAAACAGAAATTTAAGCCAGAAAACCAAACTAATAATATATCGAACACTCATCCTACCAGTGCTGACATATGGGTCAGAAACATGGACCATCTCCAAAACAGACGCAAATCTTCTGCTCGTCTTCGAAAGGAAGATACTAAGAAGAATAATGGGCGCATTCTGTGAGAATGGTATTTGGAGAAGGCGATATAATTTCGAATTGTACGAGAAGTATAAAAAAATAGTAAATGGTAGAGATGTAATATCCTTCATAAAAATAGGTAGGCTTAGATGGGCTGGACATGTGTCAAGAGCAAATGAAAATTACCCACCCAGACGAACTCTATTATCGGTCCCAGTGGGAAATAGGAGTAGAGGCAGACCCCGACTAAGATGGAGGGACGGTGTGGACGAGGACGCAAGGAAAATCGGCGCGGCAAATTGGCAACGGTTGGCGATGAACAGAAACGACTGGCGAAATAGACTGGGGAAGGTCAAGGCTCAACTAGAGCTGTAGCACCACTGATGATGATGATGATTTCTAAAAGTCTTTCTTCTTCAAATAGTTTCTTTGTTTGGTTTTTTTCTTTGATCACTTCTAATCTTTCTTTGTGAATTTTTAGCAGTTCTGTATAAAATTCCTTTTTGTCTTCACACATCTTTTGGAGAATACTGTTTTTGCTAACTGGTTTCTCTCTCTTTCTTTTAAGTGATTTTGGTGTAGAACTAAGAACATTGGCTTTAGCTGTTGCTACATCTTCAGGCTTTTCATCTATGTGATGTGCCACTGTTTCATTAGATAACAGCAATTCAGGATTGACATTTCTTTTCTGCCCAAATATCTCATCTAGTTCATTACCCTATTCAAATGTTTTGCGGCCTCTTCCTGTTTTTTACTCTCATCTATATATTTCTTATAATTTCTTTCAATTACTCGCCATCTATTTTCGCAGTGACATGCATTCAAATTAAGATTATGTAAGTTATTTAGTTGTTCTGCTACCTTTGCCCACATAATTTTCATGGATCTCATTTGTAAACTCCCTACCCTATCTCTGTATTTTTTATAAAAATATATTAATGACAGTGTCTGGTTATGGGTCCAAGATATACTGACTGAAACACTTGTCGATGGGCTTTGGTTTACAATTATAAACTCTTGTAAATCTGAAACAAATGTAACCTTTAAATACCGTTTAGAAAAATGTGTTTCATTATTTTGTTAAACTTTCACTTTAGACGAAGTTATTGTTTTGAAAAAAAGTAAGTAGTACTTACCTTCCATATTAGAAATCTATTTGTTTGATTACAAAAATTATGAATCTCGATATTAACCAAAAATATTAGGTTAGATTAATTTAATTTTGATAATCAGCAAATCGTTCGTGCAGCATAAATTTTGACAACGGTCAGAAAACAGTCTAATTTCACGTCTGCGCAGTGTGCATAGTTTACAAACGGTAAGCAAACCACTGCAGAAACAAACCTAATAAATATATCTTTTATAAAGGATTTAAAATAAACATTTTTTATGTGTGTATACTTCAAACATTTAAGTCTCCCACTAAAGTGTTGTTACACTCACAAAATGAGCTTTGAAATACTCCCATTTTAAATAGATGGATGGGGAAGAAACCATGATGAATTTTAATTTCATTAATAGTGGAAGCATATGATTTGGAAGGAGAAAAGATTAGGTGAGGAATGTTGTTGGTGAGAATTGGATGAATTGAATAATAGTGACTGTTATCTTAAACGCTAAGGTTTGTGTTCTCTAACTCTGTCACCTCAAAGCAGTGTCAAAAAAGTGCTTGGTGTACAACTTCTTAAAATTCAAAATCACCTGCTGATCCATGGGCTGCAGGATAGAAAGTGGTGTTGGGTGCTAGGTTGACCTATACCTTAAAAAAAACTGGAACTCTGCAACTAAATCGTCTTCAAGATTTTGTGGGCGACCAGGGCATTGTCTAGGATGAGAAGGGCTTGCATTATTTTTTAACAGAAGGACCAAATAATAGGTTTATCCACAACACAAAGAATTTATTTGTGACTCACAACTTTGAATTTGACCTCCACATAACTTGTTTTTCTTTTAAAAACCTATGTGACAGACTAAGGATCTGGGATTTTCTGAATGGTATACAAGCAAAGGTTGAATTTACAGCTGCCACTCACATTAGTGCAAAGTACTATAGTTAATATATTCTTCATGAGTTTGTGACCTGCCATTGTCTTCTTCTCTGCCTTTATGTAAGTCCTATTACAGAAAAGCCCTGTCTCTGTTGAAGACTTTCTGGGGGATTTATCCTTTGGCTTCTATCAGTTTGGAAAACGCTTTGACGCTTCAGCTGCCCTCACATGGAATTTGTTGCCTCACCATGCCTGATAACAGATCAAATGTTGGTTCTTTTTCTAAAATTGTCAAACCAGCTCTGACTGGCTTTTAATGAGTCTTACGATTCTTCGTTTGTGGAAGTATGTGGTATCTGATTCAGCCAATCACCATAAATTGCTAGTGCCATCTCACATAAATATGCTGTTTTTGTGTTAAGGTTCCTCCTTGAAGCTGCTTCTCTATCACCCACACTGTCAGTAGGTAGTTTCTCCATCTTTTCATAGAGGGAGGTCTTGAGCTGGGAAATGTTTTTCTTTTTTTGTTGTTTCTTGTTTTTCTTTTATCTTAACATCTCAGTACATTAATCCTTATAGGATGAGTTGTTTGATGATTTTAGTTTAGTTTGGACATATAGAACTAGTATTGCCCTCCAGTTGTCGCTCAAATTCTGTTTTTGATTCCCTCAATAACATGTAGAAGATTATATTTATATGTAATTATTAATTAAATGGGAATAAGCAACGATTAAAGGTTAAAGTAAATTTATTGACTTTTCAATTTCCACTTCAGAAATTGTTCTCAAAATACAATGTTTGTATTTTGAGAACAATTTCCAAAGTGGAAATTAAAATGTCAATAGATTTATTTTAACCTTAAATTGTGATTATTCCCATTTAAATAATAATTACATATAAATATAATGGAATATAATAGAACATTCTACTAATGTTTGTATTTTGAGATATATAATTACTTTACAATACCACAGGAAATTAGCTTCAGAACTATATTTTTATGGTATGTAATGTCATCTTGAGTCTTTTAAAAGGATTGATGCGAGGACCTGTGTAATAAGGGAAATTTAATTATCTTGGAATAAGCTGTAATAACAATATTGAAATATTAAATTCTTCTTCTTAGAGTGCCGTCTCCCTACGGAGGTTGGCAATCATAATGGCTATTTTTATTTTAGAACTTGCTGCTCTAAACAAATCAATCGATCTGCATTGGTACCAATCACGTAGATTCTTTAACCATGAGTTCTGCCTTCGACCAACAGATCTTCTTCCTTGAATCTTTCCCTGTATTATCAGTCTCAAAATTTCATATTTTGGTCCCCTCATCACGTGGCCTAGGTATTCCAGTTTTCTGGTTTGTATAGTGGTGATTAGTTCTGTTTCTTTACCAACCCTCTCCAGTACTTCTTTATTTGTAATTCTATCAGTCCATGATATTTTCAATAATCTGCGGTATAACCAGAGTTCGAAGGCCTCGATTCTTTTTAAATTACATATTTTTAATGTCCAAGTCTCAGCTCCATATAATAATATTGAAAATATATAACAGCGAATGGTACGTAGTCTGATCTCCAAATTTAGATTTTTGCACGTTAGGAGTGGCTTCATTCGTATAAATGCTGATCTGGCAATCTCTATTCGTCTGTTTATTTCTACAGTATGATCATTGATTTCATTGATCAAAGTAGGCTTGTGTAGTTCATGAGCGAACTAGTTCAAAGATCCGGCTCCAAACCCTGAACTAAATGAACTAGTTCGTCAGAGCTGGCTTAAACCGTTCACTCGCTCTGCTGAGCCGTTTATTTCTCGGAGTCGAAGCTTCGCGTTTCGTTTGTTCATCGGTCAGGAGCGGTTCAGTTCAAATCTTCCGAGTTCAGACGCGACGAACGAAATAAGTGAGCTGGGAGGCTGAGCGGGTAGCGGGTAGAAAGGAAGAACATGAAAAGAACTAACCATCTAGGAACTAATATGTGGACATGTGGAGGATTAGTAGAAGTGGGTGAGCGCTGAAACTGCTGAGAAATCATTTAGTTGAGATTATAATTTTAAGTTTATGGTGCGTTTTATTTTTATTATATAGATGATTTAGTTTACTTTACCGTGAGGGTGTTATCAAAAATAAACTTATGTACGAAAGATAAAATAATCTTACATTTTGCTCATGTGTAAATAAACCTCTCATGCTTATTAACTCTTTGAGTTAATGAACTAGTGAACTAAAAGAGCGACCTAGTTCACTTCTCACATTTGAACTAAACTGAGGGCTCTTTATGATGAACTATTATGCCCAAGCCTAGATCAAAGTTCCCAAATACTGATATTTTTCTACTTGTTCTATCACGTTACCATTTATTGTCAATAGGTGATGTATATTTTGTGGCCTTTTTGTAATCAGCATGTACTTCGTTTTTTTAGCGTTTATAGTAATTCCAGTATATTTAATAAATATTAAATAGTAACATGTATTTTGTTTACACTTAAATAAAGTGGATTAATTACGAACTAAGTATTATGCAAGACATAACTCCTTAATGCGATTAGAAATAAAATTTAAAATCATACCTAGTTTCTATAATATAAATTAATGTAACAAATCTTTACTTATTTTAGTTGATCATATCCAACAAATGAGGAGAAAACAAAAAGAAGAAGTACCACCTGTACCGCCTCTAGAAAAATGGATTGAACAGTATGAAATTAATAATAAAGATTCAAGTGATAAGGTGCATCTATTTTGGACTTATCCTGAAAATTTGGAAAACAGGAACGATCTACCCCCTTCCCTCATAAAATTTAGACCCGAACATTTTTATGACGACAATTTTGAGGAATGGGGCAAATGAAGTTTTTGTGCTCTGAACTGTTAATTGGAAATCGATGATTAACAATGTACGGGCTAAAAATAAAGTTATATTTTTTCGTATTATTTTGCCATACCCTGTGGAATTTATTATAAACAAACGCTACATCCTATTCATATAGCGAGATAGGTTCACCTTTACTTAAAATTTTTGTGAAAAAATCTTGATATCTCTATTATCAAAGATTATACAATACCTTAAATGTAACAATTATTATTGGCAACTGAAAGCAAAGAGGACATAAGCTAAATAATCTTTAAGAAGTTCACTCTCGCAAAAAACACTTAATAACGATTATTCCCGCCTTATTTCTTCACAGCGAGTGGGCATACCAAAAATCAAGCGTCTTATTATTTGGTCTTAATCATTTACATCCCAAACGTCTCTCACTGTAACTTGACGATCAATAATATCCCTCAAATTCTCTATGGTATTTAAATCAGAGCTACAGGGTGCAAAGTTCATTGTGTGGATACTAAGCTCGTCCAAATAATCACGTACCATACATGTAACAAGTGGTCGTCTTTTATAATGCATTAAAAGAAAATTATTTCTTATGTAAGGAGCGAAAGTAACTACATGATTGTAGAAAATTTCTGTAATATACCTTTCCTTGTTAAGGCACTTCATAACCAACAAGGTCGGTTCCTGTAGCGTTCTCTTGGCCGTCGAATTACTCGTACACGTCTATTTGTGCTATATAAGTAATACCTCGATTTATCTGTGAACAATATGTGCTCTTAGTGTTCAACATTCCAATCAATGTACCCTGTGGGAAATTGCAATCTACTACGATTACTTTCTCTCTAAGTTTAAAGCTTGTGTTCTGGCTGGTATCCTTACATGCAAGTCTTGTTCAGCGAGACGCCTTTGTATAGTATTCCTACTAATTGTAATATGAACATCTGTTAGTTGTATTTGGAAATGTCTCATTGTGACAAAACTTTCTCTTATAGCACGAAGCCTGTGAAACTGATCTTAGCGTGGTGGTGTGAGTCTTCCTTGTTCAGGCCGTCTCGTATGGTCATTTCTTTCCCGAAAACATTGAACAACTCGTGATATGTAGTATAAGATATCAACTTCAAGTATATGTCACGATAACTTAATCCTACATCAGCTAAAGTAATTGCCTAAACAAATTTTTCTTCAATGAGTTGGTCTGTATATGGAGAGCTCGTAATAAAATTTCCGACTTTTTGCTTCTGCGATCTGTTGATCTAACCGCAATTGATTTGCTGGGTAACGGAGAAATGCTTGTTAATTTAATATAAACTGATGATGTTCCAGGAGTGTTTGATAAATCAAATGTTCTGGTTTGTGGCGCTACAGCAACTTTTTCTCCCAAACTTGAAATGATTGCAGATTTGGAACCAAAGTCCGTAAGTTGAAGTATATTGTTTTTAATCTGTAAAATCCTCGTACAATCTGGTTCTGATGTAGGTATTTCGCTGATTATGGCATGTATGAATATTTTCCTTAGTAGTGTAATTCTCAAGAACAATAGTTGGACTGTCAAGTACATTGGGAGCATTTTCAGAGACTGATACATTTGATGTGGTTGAATATCAATTTCAGACGCAGCGGTATCAGCGACTCATAATTGTATTTGTATTTCAAGCGCTTCTACTTCCGTAGTTACTGTAGCTGCAGCAGGTTTTTCTCGTTTTATGACTAAAGCGGCCATGCAGTCAGCTCTCTTTAAAACCTTTAATCGCATTTGTTACAGTAGCAGCGTTAAAATATGCATGTGTAAATATTGAAGCAATTTGGTAAACCGTAATTACCCGCCCCGGATGGTTCGTCAGCCATTTTTTACATTCGTTGGAATAAAACTCTTTAAGCGGCCTAAAAAACATGTGTCAAGTGGCTGCATACGGTGACTACTATGAGGAGGAAGCGTTAATACGCTAATGTTATATTGTCGAAAAAAAAAAAAAAAAAAATTGTGTGGTTATTCATTATTCATAGGACTGATTGTTCCTTTGTCGACAGCAAAATGTATCTCGTAATCAAGAAACAGGTCCTAATTTATGAAACTACTATGCGGTACCATTTCAACTGATGATGGTGTAGCTCCATCCAAAAGTTCTGCCTTCATTTAGTTACGTGGATATATAAATGCAGGAGGAGTATATTGTCCACTAGCACTCATTGCGCATACAACACTAACATTGGTTCCCGCTCTGTTCTAGATATTGTATTGACACAAATTTTTCCTTTTGTAGAAAAAACTTAAGGTGGCCTGTTTGGGACAGTGGAAAATCCCTACTCATCCATATTGTAAATTGCATGTGGTGGGAATTTATATTTGTTCAATAACTTCCAGAGATTTTCATAAAACCGCTTACCCTGTGGTTCATTAAACCAATAGCCATGGCGACACTAGTAGCGGTGGGTTGACTAAAACTCACATCTTTGTGCCATTTCAAAAATCTAGGCAGCCAACCTTTGCCTGCCATTCTTTTTGGACTTCTTAGAGCTGTAGAACTTAACTCGTAAAACATGTTCTCTATTGTTAAGTTTTGAATATGAAAAAATAACCTGCCGATGGATGCCGCGTTTGCTGACCATTGATAAAAACATGATCATCTGACAATTTCTTAGCAGTCCTTGGACCTTGTGAAATGTAAACTGTCAGACTTCTGACTGGATCCACTATTACACGTTACAATAAATAATGAACCCGCAGCAGTAGACTGAAGGGTGCAAAATGCTCCAAATGGGATCGGGTAATAGTGACTCAAGGGGTAGAAAAGGCTATCGCCACTGTATTTTGCAAACTATTAATAGTCAGTATTATTGTGCAATATTGGACAGGAACTCAATGAGAAACGGCACCATAACCAGAAGAAAAAGTGTGGTTTTTCGAAGACAATGCACTGGCTCACAAAAGCATTATGATAATGGAAAAATTCCATTACAGTGACAAATAGAGTTGGGCTTTGAACTGCTTTCTTATCTGGCTTATTCTTCTGATTTTGTCTAATTTTTTATTGCTATTGAGCAATAAAAAATGGTTAGGAACACTACATAAACTATCTTGTATACTTACACAATTATCTGATTTGTGTAAAAATACAATGGTTAATATAAAATATTCAAATGCAGTTATAAATACTTTTTGCATATTTGCATACTTTTTGTTGCTGAAGTATTATATCAACCCCCGCGCCAACCCCTACCTAGGCCACGTCACCATCGACGGTATAAATGAACCGTCCCCTGTTCCCAGTTGTAGTAGTGAACAGTGATAAATGTAATAGTGTCTGGAGTCTCGGGAGACTGAGACCTCGGACGCCCTGAGGAAGACATCATAGAGGATGTCGAAAGCTCGGCCCAATGGATATCGACGCGGTTATCCCATACATATACACCTAAAGCTATAAATATGATATTAAATAGAAATACTTATCGAATTAACGTAAATATCACACCACAATCTATGTAAATAGAACGTAAATAAAAATGAGTTGCTTCGCACGTGACGTCACGCGCTAAACTTGCCAGTTTTGATGAGCTAGCGAGCATACCGGTGTAAGTGTATCGTGATAGAAACCCAAATTGGTACAACAGAAACACCTAAAACCGCTAAAAGTTCGAGACATAAGCTAATTCTAAATTAATCAAAGGAAGATGTTAGCCAGTCAAAAAATTTTATTGGTCATGATTGATATGTATAACAAAATTCCATTAACTACGATATCCAATGAGCGGACTGCGCAATCTCGCGTCATAAAATCTCGCATCTGTGGGACATCCTGTATAAACACAAATTATAGTTATTTAAATTAAAAAGTACGTAATACAAAGGCAATTTATTGTGCTTATTAATTTGAGAACTAAAGAAATGTGACTACAATAATTTCAATATAAAAATAAAATAATTACAGGAAAACGACCAATAATTTGACGTAGCTGTCATTATCGATTTGCCAGATATATCGATGTGAAGTTGGTAACAGTTCAATTGCGTAACCCTGTATACACACTCCGCGTCATAGAAAATGGGCCACCCCAAATATTTAAAATATTTTCGAAATTATTATTTATTGCTACAAAATTAAGCATTTATTTTGTTGTATATTGAATTAACATTATTTTATTTTTAATGTGTCTTGGGTTATTTAAGTTAAAAGGGTTGTTGCGAAAGCAAACCGACCCTGTAACTGGATTGAGGATATTCGTAGAACCTATAAAACAAAACAATTTTGAGAAAAAGTTTTTTACAACTTGATCAATTTTCGAGGAAGCGATTGTTTTGAGAAATGTTTGATATTGTAAAGGGTTCTAATGAGTTTTAAACGCATCTCAGTATTACAGTAGCCGACTTAATGTAAAGTAGTCTTCAGTTAATAACGATGGAGAATTTTTAAAAATCGGTTGAAATTGTAACGTTACTGGGAAGTGGATTAAGTCAAAGACAAGCTGCAAGACAATTAAATGTTAGTCGTTCGACCGTACAAAGGACCCAGCAACGATTTATTGTCACAGGATCCCACCAACGGACTTGGGAAGATCGCGTCTTCCTTCTTGCTGCATTACGGAATCGGACCCAAACCGCTAGAATGCTTCAAGGCCATTTACAGCAAGCTCAAGGACCAACAATCAGCCTTTCTACTATTCGGCGAAGATTCAGCAGACAGCAGACGATTGGAAAAAAGTATTGTTTACGGATGAGTGTAGAATGTCTATTTATGGTAAAGACGGACGTAGTAAGGTGTACAGACGAGCTAGAGAACGTTTCGCTGGTCGCACTCGGGCACCACGGGTTGCTTTTGGTGGTGGTTTAGTAATGTTTTGGGCAGGGATTTCTTTTGATGCGCATACGGATCTCGTCGTGATCGACAGAGGTGCGTTAACAGCAGTAAAGTACATAACGAAAATCTTACAATATCATGTGATGCCCTATGCTGGATTTATTGGCAACGAATTCCTGCTAATGCAGGATAATGCGAGACCACACACGACAAGGATAGTAAAGGAGTACCTTGATGAGGTTGTTATTCAAAAAATAGACTGGTCTGCTCAAAGCCCCTATTTAAATCCTATGGAGCATATA